ATATTTTTGAAAGAAAATCACCTGAGTAAGGATAAAATAAATTTTTTCCAACATGAAACCAAAATTAATAATATTAAAACTACGAAAAGAAAATCAATAAACCATTCAATAGATGTCATATCCCAGAGTGAAGGTATACATGTACATGCATGGGTGCAAGTTAAAAATGGCAGAAAACCTAAAAGTCCTGAATTAAGTAACATTCCAATTGGTTCTGTGTAGAAAAAGAGCTTTCAGGAGTTAAGAAAAACTTGAACTTCAGACAAAAGCCTGAAAACCCATGTATATGTCCCTACATTTGAAAAACAAATAGAGATGTGTCAACTGGTGACAGTGGTCTGTATAAAACTGGTAGAAATTTAAAAGAAAATATTACTTTTAGTACCAGTTAGTAATGGCTTTATAATATTAGATAATTTCATACATTTTTTTTTTTCAAATCTGTTACAAAAAAAAAAAAACAAAAAAAAACAACAACCAAAAAAATCATCCTTGTCATATTCTCAAAGGAAATTCTGTTGCTACAGCAAGATTTTCAACATTTATCAGCTCCATTCAAAAGTGAACAAAACCTCTTCATAATGAACAACACCTCTCTGGCTTTTAACAAAAAGAGGATTTCCTATAACCTCATAGTTACAATTGTTACTTTGGTGAATAGCAACATATTTTAACAAAAGAGTAATACCTATGACTTTTTATAGTTGCTACTTTCTCGCTTCTTTTTGTTCAACACACCTACATGTTTAATTTATAAGGCATTAGAATCATAGGCTAATGCAAAAGACTGTCAATACACAATAAAAAGAGCAAAATTTCAAACAATAATATTCATTATGGACAATTACAAAAGTGTAAAAATGGTTCTAACGGAATAGAAAGACTTCATTGAAAGAAGTTGAGAAGTCAACAAAACCGTGACGTTACCTATTCCTCGATTAAATATCAACGTCACGTTTTAACACACTATCATCAATACGTCTCGCATACTGGATCAATACCTTTGAATTGTGTGCAAAACAACACATTTCTTTAATATAAGAAAGTCAATCTTGTTTTTTATTTTTTTTGTAAAAAAATCAGACCTTGTTGAATTATGCGATATCCTTCATATTAAAAAAAACAACAAATATCAGACAATAAGATACAAATAATATCTCCAACAGTAAAATACAATTATACCTTAATATGTATATTGTGCCCTAAGACAGCCACATACTTATAAAAATAATTGCCATAACATTTAATGCTAGACAAAAATTAATAGTGAAAATATACATGAAATAAAGAAAAAAATACATTATAAACATAAATTTTTATTGAAAATTAAGGCATTAGGTTCTACCTGTTTACAATTATATACCCGGTACTCATTGCATCATAGTGACATTATGCCAATCCAAGAGTAAATGGTAAGTGTTCCGTAAAGACAAAAATACATTTCGTCATATTTGTTTACAATTTCATAATAAATTTCCCCGGAGTAATCAATAACCTTGTGACTACCATAAATATCTATAGATATCCTTTGAAAATTATTGGTAATGTTCAATTTATAATAAAAATGGGGCATTAACATGTCTATTTACATTTTAGGCAATTTTTATATTTTATCATTAACATTTGTAATTATCAATTAAAGTTCAATAGCCATTTAAATAGTCAGTCTTTTGAAATATACAACTTATTCATTTCAGCTTAACAATGAAAAACTGGGCATAATGTCACAGTAACTTAAATATCATAAAGGGGAAGGTACTCTTACAAAAACCAGTTTATTAGTGACAATTTTTATTTCCCTTGTCTTCAGTAACAGAACTTCAAATACTAACACAAGGACTGTGCTAAGATTTTAAATTTCATATTATGAAGTCTTATTTAGTCCTTAATTCAATGCAATATTTTGATATCACAAATAAAATGATCTTATTTTCATATCTTATTTACTATAATGGTCATAAAAACAAATTAACAAATCTGTGCGTTCTAATCAACATGGAATATTCTAACATCAAAGTACAAATGTTTAAAGTTAAATTCATGTAATGTTTACAGCAAAACTAATTATACTCCACATATATCGCAAAAAAAAGTATTTCATTACTTTTGCACTTAAAATAAGTAAATAAACAATTGATACTACACATATTAGGGTACATTTATATAAAAAATAATTATACATTTCATGTTCTTAATCTTTTTTTAAAATATCTCTCTATCCAATGAGACTTATTCTTCCTCCATTATATTTTAACAAGGGCTGTCATTGAAATTATTATTATTATCATTTTTTATTTTTGGATTGGGATTTACACTGCACTAACACAGTTAAGGTCATATTGTGACTTTCCAGCTTTACTGGAGGAGGTAGACCTCTCCATTCTCACCCTTGCATTATTTCAGGAAGAAATAGAACCATTGATGTCCATAAGCTTGCATGATAACTTCCTCACTTGAAAAAAAAAAAAAAGAAAGTCTATGTCGGGACTCAAACCCAAAGCGGTGAGGGTGCAAGTGGTTGGAAGTCAACGACTTAAATCAACTTGGCCATGGATGGCCCTTGAAAATTTTTGCATCAATATATCAGAAGCCAAATATTGGCAATATGTCGATATATCAAATAAAATAGCTTGAAAACCATCTAAATATAATATACATTGTAATTATGTTTTAACTGACACCATGATGGTATGCATGCTTTTTTATTCAACAAACATTATACACACATGAGCCGTGTCATGACAAAACCAGCATAATGGGTTTGCGACCAGCATGGATCCAGACCAGCCTGCGCATCCGCGCAGTCTGATCAGGATCCATGCTGTTCGCTTACAAACCCTATTACAAGTAGAGAAACTGATAGCGACCAGCATGGATCCAGACCAGCCTGCGCATCCGCTGGTTTGGATTCATGCTGGTGGCAAACCCATTATGTTGAATTTGTCATGACACGGCTCATATATGACTTAGAGGATTTTTTTTTTATTATTTCTCACTGACCTCTAAAATCTAAATGCAGAGTTCAAAGTTAAACAATTGGCCAAGAAAAAAAGATGAGAAGTGACCTCTCTGCAGATAAAATAGAGAGATTTTTTCACAAAACAGGGATAATAGATTTTAAATTGTAACATTACTTTAAATCGTGAATTGATATTGAACATTTGAACATTGAATATCGATGATTAATCGATTATCACCGTATTCATCATTATCGCTATATTCAATTTTCGCTGTTCATGTCATAATCTTATGATAGAGAAAGGTAGACATATTGGAATAGATAGAGATTTAAGATATTGCTTTCATTGCCTAAAGACAAATATTTATGTTATTGAGGATGAATATCATTTTTTCTTTGAATGTTCATTATATAACAATATTAGAGCTGTCTATTTTAAAGATACATGGTTACATCATCATTCTCACCATTTATTTTATTCTCTCATGTCATCAACAATAACAAATGAAGTAATATCTATTGCTAAATATATATATATTATGCAATGAATGTAAGAAATGAAGAGCTAAATACTGTATAATTATTTACAAATTCAATTCATTACATCTAGTAACAAATGTATTTTGCAATTTATCACTCTGCTGTTTGATGTATTGTTGTACTTTGTATTTTGGGCCTGAGGCCCATATTACTAGAAATAAACTGAAACTGAAGCTATATTCAATGACAGCCCTTATTTTAACATCAATCTTTTTTATTGCACACTATCACAGAAGTTTGGAATGTATAAAAAACATGTATAAAGCACATAATACTAAACCTTTTATAATGTCATAGAAAAAGCACTGAAATAATCCCTGTTTTGGGACAGAGTCAGTTTCTAGACTAACATAATAGGTATCCTGAACAAAACCAGTTTCTAGACTGAAACAATATTTTAATAGCTTAAAAAAAAAGCAGTATTATTCAATTGTGATTATTAATTATATAAAAATATGAAAAACAAAAATACTTCCCTTCATGACGCTTTCACTTCACTTTGCAAGCTTCTTAAGAAAACAATTTATTTTAAAAGAACAAAAAAACACAACACACCCCCAAAAATAAAACCCTAGACTGAAAAGAATTGGAAGCTCATATACATTTTTTATCACATATTTATAAAAGATGATAAACAAAATATAAACAAGAAAGCCGAGATGGCCATATATTGCTCACTGAAATGCGAGTTACATTTTTTTTCACAAGAGTTAAGTTCCTTAAAGCTTTGGTGTTGCCACATTGATTATTAATATTAGCTAAGGCAAATCTATAAGTACTTGCACAAAAGGGGAAATAAAAAATCTGTTTGAGTAAAAATGACAAAGACTGATGTATTTGATTAACAATATAGTATAAGCTTAAAAAGGTGCAATGATACATCAAGTATAAAAGTTTATTTATATAAACAGCTAGAGAACATTTAAATTTCCTAGTGTTTGATTTTTTTTAGCAATTTTTAAAAAAGTGCCTATTTTTGTAATATTTCATTTTTTGATAAATGAAGACAGTGCAATTACTTTAAAAGGGTAAGAAACAGTGAAAGTGAGAATAGACTGAAGGCTACAAGTTAGACATAGAACGTTTAAGATTTGCTTAAAGAGTGTAAGGCTATATATCTGAAGTTATTTCACAGAAATAACAAAAATCATTCTTTGCATTAAGCTATTTTGATATGATTCTTAACATGATGTAAATAATTATTCTGTCAGCCAAAGTTTAATTTAACTCTATACCATTTAATTACCATAGCCCCTCCCCAATCCCCCACCAAAAAACACCCAAAAGGCCATTACTGTATAATTAACCGACATTTTCACTGATTAAAAACAGACTATTTTCACTGATAAAAATAATTTTATATAACATTTTTACTGCTTAATATGCTGTAAAGTCAGACATTATTGTATACTGAAATTTCATGACAATAATTGGCGAGGATTAAATACTGGCAAAATTCATAGGGCAGATATCAAACTAACATTTAAGTGAAATTTAATTCCTTGTGTAAATTTCAGAATTTACTATACCTGGATTTTCATGAGCGTCAACTATTGGAAATTTTCTTTTGTTTTTACATAACTTTATTAGGCACAATATATGATGCAATGCAAAATTTGAAAATAAAAACACAAAAGCTGTACATCATACGAAATAATAAGTATTCACCTGACAATAATGAGTGATCACATTATCACTACCTGGGATCCCCCGAACAGTGAGCACATGACCATAATCAGTGATCACATGACCATAAACAGCGATCACATGACCATATTCAGTGATCAGATGACCATAAAATGGAATATTCTATATATAACAGAACCTAGTCTAATTTCCTGGATTTACTGCTTCACACGAATGTGTGCGATCTGACCATCTGAACTTGCTCTTTTGTATCAACATCAGTGGATATAGATACCATGGAAATGGTTCCTGGTCCCATGTCGCTTGTCCCACAAAACTCTTTGATAGATTGCACCCCATATTTCACCTACATAATGATAAAAAAATCAAGTTAAGGACGTTTTCGGGAGTTTTCATATAAACATATAGGCAAAATTAAAACTGTTCAATAGAATTTCTTTATCCTTGGCATGTTGTTAGAATATCTTAACAAAAACAAATTTGGGGTCACCGTCCTCATTTTCAAGTTATCTGCCCTTGTTCTGGACGAAGCAATGCATAACCTATGGGATCAATACAAACAAGTCATAAAGTAAGTATAACTTCTGTAGAGCAAATTTATCCTAGAAATTTTGTTATACCAAGGATTGAACCAGCGACTACTGGGTTATAAATAGCATGCTTTCCCTATTGAGCTGAGCAAGTGGACAGAATTTTTTGAATTTTTTTTTTGGGAGGGGAGGGGGGGGGGGGGGGGGATTACAGTGCACCAACACAGTTTAGGTCATACATTGCCAAAACAGGAAAGATGATTTTGGCAATATTGGGTGTTAAATATGTTAAGCAACACCAGGGGTCAATACCACCTCACCTGCTGGAGGTAAGAAATGCATAGACTCCAGTAATTCGAACCCATTTAGTCGCCTCTTACATTAATTTTACGCAGGGTTAAACAGTGGCTGCAATTCAGATGCAGCAACCCATAAAGGCAACCCCTCAGCCACAAGTGGTCAGTATATTTTTAGAAAACACATTGAATGTCTAAATGACGTACCTGTACCATTCCACTGGCTACATTTTTCTTCACCTTCGAAGCTGCATTTGAACTAGTCTCCTTTATAGACTGTATCTTCATACTTCCTGCGTCCTTAATATTCCTTATCTTCAGAGTACCTTAAAATAAAAGCAAAAAGCAACTCTTTCAATTTAGGTATCTAGAAGCTTATACTCCAACGCTTTATAAAGTATCTGATAAAGTCTGCTCCACAAGTTATGTAAACTTAGACATGATTTTGTAACAAAAAAAAATTAGGGATTTCACTTTTTTTCATTTTTTTTTTACATTTGACACGGGTAATCTTGATCATGATCTACAAGTGCCGCCAGTGTTCTTTAATATTCTCAGTGTTTGTAATTAAAACAAGAGCCTTGCTTATATCATAGGAATTTACAAAGGGGAATGTCTCCTTCAATATCCATGCGAAGTTATTCATTCCTTAATATTTTCACAAAGGTCTATAATTCAGTTCATATCCATGCAGCATTGCTAGAGTTACAGGCCTTGGATAGAGAACTTGAATTACGACCTGAAAGACATGTTTGAAGTTTCAAGCGTAGACCTTAAACAGTTGATTAAGACTTTTTGGTACAAAACCCTATAACAGGTTTTATGCAGATGCATAGGCAAGTATGATCACCCCACTATCTTACAAAATAGCCAAGCTAAAATGAAGCTACTTCACATCTTTAGAAACAGTTGGTAGTCTGATTAAAAAAAACGTAGAGAGCAGTGACAAAAACATTTTTTTCTGTTTACAATGCATCCACGTTTAGCAAAAATTTTCCCCATTTTTTTACAAAGTGTAAATGGTTTTAAAGAAAATTTTAAAACCCTGTTTTTCCGTAATGGGTCCTTTAACATGAGATCCCAACTTTCCCTTCCCATTTTCCCTGCACACATCGGTAACCTTGGGCCCTTTCTTCATCAAACCCGATCCCAAATTGGGGGCGGGTTTCCCGTTAAATTTTTTGTAAAAAAAAAAAGTTATAGGGTAAAGATTGAAAAAATGTTGATAAAAATTTTTAAACACAAAAAGTTTTGCTTTTTCCTGCAAATTTCCAGTTGTATAAGGCAATTACATTTGTATTAATGTAAAGTTTTAGACCATGTCTCATACCCCAGGGGTGGGGTGAGGGGGCCCTATCCCTGGTCAGAGCTGCATTACTGGTACTGCAGCGATTTTGCAAGTACTGGTACTGATACTGAATTACTCTTACAAAATTTTGCTACTACTGGTACTGGTACTGCATTACTGTCTGAAAAAGTGGTACTGCTACTGCATTACCCAGTACTTTTGGTTTTGATAAAAATTAAAAATAGCATCAATTTTTCTCATAAAATAAAGCTGTAAATTACATTAACTTTATTTTATTTTTGTGAAAAAGTAAGTTATCGAATCTAAAGATAATTTGCTGCAATATTCCTTCAAATGTTAACATAGTATTCATCATATAAAGCACCAAAGACTTTAAAGTAAAAATTAAATTAAGATAAACAGACTCAATAACTCTTTACCCTAAAATATCCTTATTAAAATCTGTTATTACTTTGTATTTACTATTAAAAGAGCAAAATAAACACTAATTAATTTCTTCTATTCTAAATAATCCCATTTCAAGTGAAAAAAGTGATATTGTTAGCACCATAAAAAGTTGTTATTTACTTTTGGTATAAATTGAACAGAGGTGTGAAGGTGTGAAAGGCAACAAAAGACTGCTGTGTTTTAAATAAAAGATTTGATACTTAATTACTTCACCAAAAAAAGTACTGGTACTGCAGTACCGAGCTAAAATCTAGTACTGGTACTGGTACTGCATAATTTGCCAAGTACTGGTACTGGTACTTAAGTACTACACCCTGAGTACTGATGCAGCTCTGTCCCTGGTGTCCTTAATCTTTGCCCCTGTGACCTCTCAATGAGACTAGAGGGTAGAATTAGTCAAGATACATGTAAATGATGTGGAAGCTGTAGAAGGAAGGACTTCCATGCTATGTTTAAAGGCATAAAGCTTAAGGCCTTGTTCCAAAAAAGGCAGACACACCATAAGCAATATGCCCTCCTGATCTTGGTCTTAATTGATCCGTGGGCATAAAAATCCATTTAATGGAGTTTACATAAATTTACAAAATTGTCCATGAAATATTATACCAAACCTATATACTTTACAAGTTTAAGTAAATACGTGAAGATAGATTGGTCACTGAAGCGTGATAAATCCTCATCAAAGATAGCAAACTTAAATGGATTATATTTTTTTACAAAAGCTTAAAAAGTTTATGAAAATTATACTATGTAAATATGAATGATTTTTTACAGCCAAAGTAATATTAGAGTCCCTACTCAGAAATATACAAGTGTGTTTATTAAACAAAAACTGTCCGTAGAACAGTATGCTTGACTATTTTCGGTGACTAATGGTAAAACAAGAGTCTGGTAAATGAAGACTTTTCTACATGGCAGAGTGGTTAAAGCTATACATTACGTAACTGGTTTTATTGGCTTAACTTAGTGGTTCTACATGGCAAAGTGGTAAAGGCTATTATAGGTAACTGGCTTTATTGGCTAAACTTAGTGGGTCTCTACATGTACAGGGTAAAGTGGTTAAGACTATTATAGGTATCTGGTTGGCTTAGTTAGCTTAGTACATGGCAGAATGGTAAAGGCTATACATGTACATAACTGGTTTTATTGGCTTAACTTAGTGGGTCTACATGGCAAAGTGCTTAAGGCTAGTATAGGTAACTGGTTTTATTGGCTTAACTTAATGGGTCTTCATAGCAGAGTCGTAAAAGCTATTTTCGGTAACTGGTTTTATTGGCTTAATTTAGTGGGTCTACATGGCAGAGTGCTTAAGGCTAAATATTATAGGTAACTGGTTTTATGGGCTTAACTTAGTGGGTCTACATAGTTGAGTGGTTAAGGCTCAGGCTACTACAGGTAACTAACTAGTTGGTCTACATGGCAAAGTGGTTAAGGCTATTATCATACATGTACAATGTATATATAGGTAACTGGATTTACTGGTTTAACTTAGTGGGTCTATAATTATGGAAAAATGGTTAAAGCTATAGGTAACTGATGTGCTTCTGATTCAGGTCAGATCATAAAACCTATATTATATCAGATAATTGTACTTTTTCTGTAAATTTGAATACAAAACAACTAGTATCTAATTACATTTGATTTGGACACTTTTTTCTTCAGTATTTTTATAATCAATACAGTATATTACTAAAAGGTAACATATCTTTGCAGAAATCATAAAGCGCAACACAAAATTTAGATATGATATATAATTTAAAAGTCAACTTATATAGTTCACGATATTCCCTTGCAAATTTGTAATTAAATACCACAAACCTTGAATAAGAAATTTAAAAAAACTTGTGTTATATGATATCATTAAACCTTTGTGGTACAACTGCACTTAGTATGCATATACAGTATAAAATTATTGAGGTCCTGCCATATATTGGTTTTTATTTTCATTCAAAGTCTGCCCATTTCAGTGCATGGCTGACAGGTTATTGAATTTTTTTTTTTGTCAATAATTTTAATGAGGTCACAGTAGACAATGGCTGAATTGTAAATCGCACACCTATCCATGCAGTTTGCATTACCCAAGTATAGTTTTAAACAATGGCCTAATAAACTTTAATGTATTTACATATAATGCTCTGCCCAATGCATAGACTAATTAAATCTGAATTAAAAATCAATTTACATGACTGTAAGTTTTATAAGATTCTACATGTATATCAAAATGTTAAAATTTTGCAGCCAACACTTGAACAGTACCATGTACATAGTCAGACTGTACTATTGGGGCCTTCATTTCCTTATTTTGGGGGTAAATCTTCGGTTCCATTCCCGTCCCTGGTTAATACATACTTTTCACCTATTTAAAAACAACCCCTAAAAAATAATTCTGAATTTTAAACCAAAAACAGAAGACCCTTAAGTTAACAGGTTTTTTTTTTAAATTTGCTTTTTGGGAAATAAAATTTATATGTAATACTAAACATTAATAGAAATTGTTACAGACAGAAAAAAAAATCCTTTTTTCTGCCAAACGATGTGATCAGTCCTTTACTAGCTGATTACATGGATGCAAGGTACTTTTTCCTAAAATGGCTAGGAAAAGGTTTGGAAACAGCATATTTGTGAGTAGGAAAAGTTGTCTGAATGGACAAGCTGGCAATCAACTATAATTTAATATTTTACTTCGTAACGTCTAAGAAAGCATAATAAAGTTAACCACATCTTATGTAAATATTCTGAATTCCGGAGTAAATCTATTGCATACAAACCTTAGTTTGGTCCGAGTTTTCTTCATTATCTGGAGTTGTACACTTATCAGGAGACAATCTAAGTTGTGGCGAATTAACAGGCGGATCCGGTGGTGGTAGGCTCGGATCATATTCCGAGAAATCCGGCGAACAATCGCTTTCATTCGTCTTGACCTCAATCTCCATGTCAAGGTCCTCAATCTTGACTTTTTCATCATATTCATAAATTTCCACATCATCACAATGACAGCAACAGCAGTTACACGTGTCCGAATGAAGACATTTATTCACGAACAATCGCACCATTCCGATAATAATGGCAAGTACAAACATTGAACCTCCCGAGAAAGCACCAACGAAAAGACTTGTAATGTGTATCATAGGCAGTTTATGTTCTATTGTAACGTACAATGTTTGGTTACTTTGTCCATTCAAGTTGACTCCAACACAAGTAAAATCTCCTGCAAAATAACCTCTGTACTTCTCAATATGTAATGATCCATTTTTAGAAACGTATACCTTTGAGGTCACCAATAAATTAAGTGCAGAAATTGACTCTTCGCTTTTCATGGCTTCAAAGTCGTCGGGAAAAGTTAATTTAGATCTTGTGTTGGTAAAATTTTCACCCCATGGTGTAATCCAGTAAAGTGCCAATGGTAGATCACCAGAAACCTGACAGTCTAAAACTAGAGACTGCTGGTAAAGGGTGCTCGAAGACCTTACCAATGACGTCACATTGGCACCATGACAAGGAAGACTGTCCAAGTTCAAATCCTCAAATTTCACATGCGCTAGCTCTTCTGGAGCTAAACATGTTAGGGAATCTTCCATTGACGATGATTTAAACTGATAAGCTCGGATAAATTCTTTTAATGAACATGAGCACCAAAATGGATTTTTAGAGAGAAAAACTTGACCAAACTGGAGCAGTTTTTCAACAGTATTTTCCGACACATACGAAATTTCGTTCCCTCGTACATCCAATGTATTTAGGCTATTTAAACTATGAACAAATGTATCCAAGTACTCAATCTGATTATTTCTTAGATCAAGCGATTTAAGGTTAGGTAAACCTTCAAATACTTTCCCTTTTATCACATTCAACATATTGCCTCTAAGCTGAAGATTTTGCAAATTTTCTAATTTTTTGAAAACATTATCAGAAAGCTTCTGTATTTGGTTGCTGTCCAGATTCAAATCTTCAAGATGAAGCAAATTTTCAAAGGCATGCGGTGCTACGTAAGATATATTATCATTAGTTAACGAAAGAGACACCAGTTTTTTAAGGTCACCAAAATCAGTATCGGAGATCTGACTAATTGGGACATAACTTATTTCAAGATGAGTTAATCCGGCAAGGCTTTGTCTAAAATTCTTCTCATCTTTTTCAAGCATATCTCGGTACAACACTTCTCTCACTGACAGTTTTGAAGTCGCAAAAATCCACGTAGAACTATCTCCATGAATTTTAAGACTGGTGACGTGCCATGCAGAAAAATCTCTATCATTGTTTTCCCCATAATTAAAGTGACAATGAGCGGTCATCAGCTGGTGTGAGCAATTACAATTTTTTGGACACTTAGAAGCGATGAGGTTTAGGTCGGTGTTGTCCGTACTAGCATCTGGTACATAAATGCCATCCACAGCTGATGCAGTTAGCACAAGAATCTGAAGAAACATTATAGACACCATTTTTAGACAGCTTGTTTAACCAGTCATATTCTGAAAATATACAAGAAAAAACAATGCAAAATTAATAGCCAACAGGATGTTTGTTGCCTGGTTTAGACATTCTTATGGTCATATGTCTGCTTATTATTCTTGAAGGTGGTAGTAACACTTTATTCATGTAATTTTGTGAGAGACAAAATGTTAATATCTATAAAACTCATAATTTTGATGAGAAAATTATCAGATTCTCTCCCTATTTTGCATGAAGTGTACTAAGGTTATGAACCGGTGTGAAAATGGTATCATAGAGCTCACTTTATAAATATATATACTTATTAATATATAAGTACAGTGTATACAGTTGTTTTATTTGAGGCTTTTGACAGTGTGAATGATGTTATTTACCCTCTAACTTAGATACCCTATTTATAAGCTCCACGTCCTACTTGATTGAATATCAGTCCTCCTTAATTAGATTGATGTTTAAATAACTGATATATTGAATGATGCACAAGAATAAAAGCTGAAAAGGCACTTAAAGTGCATATAAAAACTTAGCTAAAGAGACTTCAGCAAACAGGTTTTATAGTACTTACTGCTCAGTGTCTATTCTAGGATTCGAAAAACAGGGGGGATTTTTATCAAAAAATGAGAATTTATTACATTTGTTGATCTTTTTCCTTCTTTGTCTATGTAAAATTTCCCCCCTTCCTCTCAATATATTATATAGGTGTGAATTCTCAAAAATAGGGGTGAATCCCCCTCATCGCCCCTCCTAGAATAGACACTGACTGCTAGACCTGTTCCCTCAAGCCAAACACATATCAAAAGTCAACCAGAACTGTCTGTGACATATTTATGTCATGCAGTAATTCAATCAATTTGTGTTATCTGGACAAAAACCATTTTAATACCGGTAGTTAAGATATATTTTGTACTCTTCAGTCTATATTTTTGAACATTTGTTTTTCAAATGGTATTTTTATTTGAATCAGGGTCAGCTTATCCCTTAAACGTACTCAGCCCCCGAGTCAGCTTGGCCCTATTTCACGGGTCAACTTGGCCCATAATGATATGTAACTGGTAATGATTACTTTTATTACTTTTTCTATGTTTTCATCATAACTTTCATTGTTTAACATTTTCACAGTAACAGACCTCTACTCAATGTTATTGAAAAGTTTAAAAGATGAAAGTACCAATTTGTATGAAAATTTGTAGAGATGGGAAGAATTTACAATTTATATATGCATGTTTTGTCCACTTGAGATGTTTTTGTACAATATATCGCTCATACAGCATTGGTCCGTAAAGAAAAAGCAGTGTTAAATACAATTACATTTATTGTCATTAAAATTCAGTTTTCAGATCTATTTAACATTTATTGTCTTAATATTCCTTCTTAACAAAGATAATTTCAAATAATACGTACATGTGCACTGCCAACTTTTTCAATTTCTGTTTGATAGTGATCATTCCTCTGAATACTTATTAATTTACTATAAACAAAACAATCTAAACAATGTGCATGCTAATACATTGTAGGTTTTTAATAGAGGGCCGAAATGACCTGTGCAGAATTGACCCGTGCCGAGTTGGTATAGGGCTGAGTTGACCCTTTACCTTAAGTTAACTTGTGGAAGTCAGAACTAATAAAAACGATGATCTGTTTGCCTTCCATCAAAGGGACCCGGCACAGTGTTGGGATAGTGTAAAAAAAGTAATTCTAGAAAAAATTTATACTTTATATATAATATATAGACAAGGGGTTGAACTCGCCAAATCGGCCGAACGCCCCTAGTCCAGTATAAGTCAAAATTGCAAAGTCATTCTTGCGTAAATCATATAAAGCTATATATCAAATTGCAGCTAAATGACATCACTAGACGATGACAATAACATTACTGTCCCAACTTAAACCGTTTTTGAACAACAAACCGATATTTCGGATGACACATCGTATTTTTGCTAGGTCTGACACAACCGTGCAACCTGTCCCCACTTGATTTTCTACATGTAAAAATGCAATTCCAAACCATGACATTATATCAACCCGCAATAAATCGATAATACAAAACAAAAGAAACAACTAACCGCCGGAAGTTGATTTTTAAAATGTTTTATAGCCAAAAACCACACCTACTATGCAACAATTTATTCCTGAATGTGAAAATGAAAGTTGTAATCAGCATCCATTGGCTATCACGTGACCAATTTGAAACGGATTATTTCATTGGTTGATTAAAATACAAAGCATTGCTGGGTCACAGAATCGTCCAATCAAACGATGTCTAACAACTGTTGCCGAGTATGTATCATGGCTTCAAAAAATATTTTGACGGAAGAAAAATAAAAAGAAATGAATGTTTGCTATAATTGATTGGTTTTGGAACAATTTCCAGCGGTAAGTTGTTTATTTTGTTTTGTTTTATCGATTTATTGCGGGTTGGTATAATGACATGGTCTGGAATTGCGTTTTTACACGTAGAAAATCGAGTGTTGACAGGTTGCACAGTTGTGTCCGCCCTAGCAAAAATATGATGTTTCATCCGAAATATGGGTTTGTTGTTCAAAAACGGTTAAAGTGGGGACAGTAATGTAATTGTCAACGTCTAGTGATGTCATTTAGCTGCAATTTGATATATAGCTTTATAGAGTGGTTGGACCAATGCTCGGCGCATACCAATGCTCGGCGTAAAAAAATATTTTTTTTAGAATATATGAAAATGTCATGAGTTATCTCCGATTTAGGTCACTGGTGCTTTTATTTACATCTTTCACCAATTTATCCTGGTGTGGTTCACTGCTGGTAAAGTCACGCGACAATGCTTATAGCAGACGAACAACCGTATGTAATCCCCATGAAATAAATTATTAAAAATCTTTTAACACTAGAGTTCTGGGGCTGTAAAATTTAAACTAAAAGTTGGGTACTTGTAAATGTATGAACCTAATTTGGTTGTTACAATTTATTCAATATGTTTTCTGCATAATATAAAAAAGAGATTTTATTCGAAAAACAATCCTGCATAATGTAAGTATTGTACGCCGAGCTTATGGTACAAATTTCACGCAAACCACTCTTGTTTTATCCGGACTATCTATAGCTCCAGCCATGCACATCATTATGTGATTAGCGAATTTTACACAATTGCTATTTAAAACAATATCATCGGTCTTGAAAATGGGCATATAACATTGAGGTTTGTTGACGTTGATTTGAATTTGTCATATCAAATATAGTATTTTTACGCCGAGCGTTGGTCCACCCACTCTATAATTTACGCAAGAATGGCTTTGCAATTTTGACTTATACTGGACTAGGGGCATTCGGCCGATTTGGCGAGTTCAACCCCTTGTCTATATATTATACATACAATATATATATTTTTTAAAATTACTTTTTTACACTATCCCAACACTGTGCTGGGTCCCTGTGCCTTCCATAGGTATTATGGGGGGTGCGGATATTTTCTGGAATAGCTTAATTTAAAAAATAAGGTTAGGCTTAAATCAACATATGTTATTCTCATTAGAATTAGTGACGGAACCGCCGGTCTGATCACAAACTTAACTGCCACATCAGATGGAAAACAAAAAAATCAAAAATTCGCTTACAAAGTTTTTGCAGCTAGTAGCTGAGCTAGGTTATTTACTGTATTGACAGTAACAAACTAAAACGGTAAATAGATTAAAAGCAAAAAATCTTGAATATTATCTAAATGCTATTACCAAGTTGAGTATTGGCTGAGAGTAAAATACATATAACAAATGAAGAATATTCATTGTTTTTGTCTTCCTTGTTTTCGTGGTCTCACAAAAATGTCCGTGACCTTCCGGTTAAAGGACTATCTTTATCCCGTCCGGATTCGTTTCCGGTATTTATTATACGAAAGGACTTTTTTACGCGAAAATAACTTTAAATAGATAATGGAGGCTAAAATATTTCAATTAGGAAATTTTTGATACATTTTCCTCACAAACAAGTATATTATTAACACACGGAAATGAATGCGATTTTATATCTCCTGTTTGTTATACAGAATCTATATACATCTAAATATGGTGGGAACTTGTGGAAAACAGCTAGCATCATAGATTTATTTATAAATATAGCTCTGTGGCCGCAATGAATGTAACTTGTCATAAAAGTAGCAAATCTGTAACACTTGTGACTTACATGGACACAAAATAACAAGAATGTTATAGAGAAGATGAGATGCTTTATACTACTGAACAACAAAATGATCCCTTGGAAGCATTAATCACAACCACATCAAAAGAAGTAGAAGGTTTATCTAAGTATGCTTATACATGTACTATATTTATTTTTATTATTTGTTTATTATAAAACTGCATCAAATCAAGGGTCGCTGCGTTTAAATTATATATATATTTTCATTTATCTCATTAAGTCATTTTTTTATTAGGTTAAGCGATCTCTATTTTACCAGTTAGAAATATATATGAAACTTATATCGCTTATCATATAAATTTCTCAGAATTTCTAAAAACCACACCTACTATGCAACCATTAAGCCAAAAAGATAGACCTTTAGGGGAGGACCCTAGATAATGTTGGTATGACATTTGGTCAAATTAACCCTTTTGTGTGTACATTCAGAGACATAGATAACATATCTAAGTTTCTGGTACAACATTATATTTAGAATTAAGATAATTATTTTAGATTTTGTAAAATAATCATGTACAAACTAAACATTAAAATATGATTAAACTAAAGAGCAAAATTACATGAAAATTGCAGACTCGGTTTGATTGAGTAAGTCGATTATATTAATTCTTTGGTTGAGCTATATATACATACACCAATAAGTACCGTTTCCGAAACTTTACACTGCATTTGCACGTCGGGTTTACTTATGATTTGCGTATAAACCAACTTTCTCGATCACTACTACTGCAGCAATAATTCTGGGAAATTGTAAAAATGTTACTTATACAATAATGAAGTTTAACTATGTAGTCCACCCATCCTCTTGGAAAGGATATGGAATTCACGTTGAGTTTACCGTTTATCCGTCCCGCACTGCCAGGTCAATGCCGTGGTTTAAGTATGGCGCCAAAATGACCGGGGTTATGTCCAAATCGTAAGAGACCAAGTTTTAATTTAAATTAATACTCAGCGAACATTTACACTAAACTGTTAATATACTTAATATACTTTTCATCAATAGAGGCTTGCTGACGAAAGTCTCAGTATAAAGGTCCACTAGTCTTTCATACAACTATAGCGTATTAGTGTATTAATCGGTTAGAACGACAGCTAGTACTTCAATCTTAACAGATATGATAAATACTATATATAAGGCGCAAATATATATTGCGTATTGACATCAACAAGGAAGGGCGGCCTTCAATGAATACAACCTCAACATTACCCAGTAACATATAGGACCACCGATAAGTCTCGCCATTCCTTTGTGTGTATGTAGTTTATATTTAATGAGGGTTCACCCACGTTAATGCAGAAAAATGAGCTTTCGCTGTCGAGTACGAACCTTGGACATGTCACCAAACATAGCTTTAAAAGGTTATTTTTGAAAAACAATTTAAGTGGTGATAATTTATCTCCGCGCAATTTCAACTGAGTATTAGCCAAATATATGAGTTTGAGCCAAAAGAATGTCATTGTACGACGGCCATTGAGATCCTATATGCACAATTACACGAGGCAATCATATGAAAAAGAGGAAGCAAGAATGACAGCTGTTGGTGCCAAGCAAATGGATTACATTTCAAGCCGTAACTTTGTGCTAGGGACTCACGTACCCTTCATATTTTGATCAATAATTTGGATCATTTCAAATGGTAAAATGCTTTTTGTCATCAGTAGACTGAATTATCTGTAAACACTAATATTTGACACTTGTTACGAGTAAACATTTATGTTTTTGTAACGATAAAATGTTTCTGAGTAATGAATTTCACTTGAATTCATTTTTATCGATTTTTTTGGTCATATTGACTGAATCTATAGAAATTCTTTTCAAATGATAAAATTCTTGTTTTTAGCTGTGAAACGTACGTCAATCACCCATATCCCGCCCCGCATGCTTGTGATCTGGCAAATAATTTCAGTGTGCGTTTAAAGAAGTTTCACAACTATTTCATTGCAAGCTTTAATTAGTTTCCTTTGTACCAGGTAAGTGAGAAAAAAAATCGTTGGGTTAGCTATATATCACTCTGAAACACGAAAAAGAAATATTAGAAATTAATCTTTTCGTGGATAGACATATCACTATCGTAAGTAATAAGTTCAACGATTCGTTAGCAGATTTATTGTATACGCCCCTGCGGTTCTCACGATCTTTGCGCTAGTGACGCATTGACTCCTTCTATATCTTTGTCAAATGGCATCTGATCATTGAACAGGGACGGTTTACTATAAACGTGGTCTGATCTACCATAAAATCACTTCAGTTGTCCTACTAGATAAGGTTAATCTCCTTTCAATCGTTTTTATAAAAGATTCACTATAAATGCAACTGAAACGTTTAGTTTTGAATGGTTGTAAAAGGGAATAATCACGTGTTTATTAGGTTTTGATAGAGATGTTAATATTTTTATTTATAGTTTTCTTTACAAAAGAGGATATCTGTTAAAGACTATACTGCAATAGCTTCAATCAAATGCTTTCCATAACATACGAATTTTGAATTCATTGAAATTTGAATTTATTTATTTCTTTTTCTTTGACAGGCAAGCCGCAATTCAAGTAAACATGTCTCTTGTCGACCAAGACGTGCGCCAGTACTTCATAAATCGCCAAAATGGAAGCACTCTTAAAACGGTATAGTATTGAATATAAATGAACATATGTTGTTTAAAATAATTATGTTCTTATATAATATATTTAACTTATTTTTACATGGTAATTTATCAATTTAATACTGATTCTTTAAGAACAATATTGTTGGGCAATTATATTTGTTTATATCGTAAATCATTACTGCTATACATTGTACTTATATAATGACTGAAGATATAATTAACACAGGTTTACTAAAGTTATAAAAACATTTAAACAACACGTCGCCCTAATTCCAGAGTGTCGTAACTCCAATTTTGAAAAAAATGAGTGTTTGGTATCAAAATGTTCGTAATTTTTTGCTCTATCTAATGGTAAGAACAACATCACTCTGGTTCATGCCTGTAACAATATATTGAATGGGTCAGAGTGCTGTAAGTCCAAAAATTGTGATAAAAATACAGTCCATAATATCGTAACTTCTGAACCAATAGTTTGTTAAGATTCTAGTCACGTGATGCTGTATTGACAAAATGGCAGATTTTTCAAGGTATCGGGAATGACATTTTACGTTTTATATTTCTTGATAACATGTAAAACTCGATATATTTTAAAAAGGGGAAATACACTCGTTCCCCTTTTTAAGGCACTATTTTTACATTATTTTCAGCTAAAGTAATGGTATTGTTTTGTGAAAAGTAAAAGACAAACAGCTAAAGTAAACATCCAAATTTTATTTTTTGTTTCTTTTGCAAATGTTTTCGGGGGAACCGTTCCCCCGTAGAACAAAAGCCATGTACAGAATACAACATGTTTTGATAAATAAAAAGCAATTTTTCAGTAATAAGAGATACATTATGCTTAAGGGGGAACCATTCCCTCATCGAAATAAAAAGTAAATTTCAAAACTTATCATAACATATTTTCTAAAGGGGAACCGTTCCCCCTTAACAAAATAGATATAACAATTTGATAGAATAAAATGCAATAATTTAGAAATTTAGAGCCATGTAAATGGTAAGAGGGAACCGTTCCCTCCTCAAAATAAAAAATAAATTTCAAAACTGATCTATAACAAATTTTTTAAAGTGGAACCTTTCCCCTTAACAAAACTGGTACATGTATAACAATTTGATAGAATGAAATGCAGTAATATAGAAATTTAAAGCCATGTTACCGGTAAGAGGGAACTGTTCCCTCATCGAAATAAAAAATAAATTTCAAAACTTATCTATGACACATTTTCTAGAGTGGAACCGTTCCCCCTTAAAATATATATAACAATTTGATAGAATAAAATGCCATCATTTAGAAATTACGAACAAGGTTACAAGTAAGAGGGAACCGTTCCCTCATCGAAATAAAAGACAATTTTCAAAACTTATCTACGACACATTTTCTAAAGTGGAACCGTTCCCCCATAACAAAATAGATATAACAATTTGATAGAATAAAATGCAATAATTTAGAATTTGAGCCAGGTTACCAGTAAGAGGGAACCGTTCCCTCATCAAAATAACAAATAAATTTCAAAACTTATCTGTAACACTTTTTCTAAAGTGGAACCGTTCCCCCTTAACAAAATAGATATAACAATTTGATAGAATAAAATGCAATAATTTAGAAATTTAGAGCAAGGTTACCCGTAAGAGGGAACCGTTCCCTCATCAAAATAAAAAAATAAATTTCAAAACTTATCTATGATACATTTTCTAAAGTGGAACCATTCCCCCTTAACAAAATAGATATAACAATTTGATAGAATAAAATGCAATAATTTAGAAATTTAGAGCCATGTAAATGGTAAGAGGGAACCGTTCCCTCCTCAAAATAAAAAATAAATTTCAAAACTGATCCATAACAAATTTTCTAAAGTGGAACCGTTCCCCCTTAACAAAACTGGAACATGTATAACAATTTGATAGAATGAAATGCAGTAATATATATAGAAATTGAGAGCCATGTTACCGGTAAGAGGGAACCGTTCCCTCATTGAAATAAAAAATAAATTTCAAAACTTATCTATGATACATTTTGTAAAGTGGAACCATTCCCCCTATAACAATTTGATAGAATAAAATGCAATAATTTAGAAATTGAGAGCCATGTTACCGGTAAGAGGGAACCGTTCCCTCATTGAAATAAAAAATAAATTTCTAAACTTATCTATAACAAATTTTCTAAAGTGGAACCATTCCCCCTTAACAAAACTGGTACATGTATAACAATTTGATAGAATGAAATACAGTAATATAGAAATTGAGAGCCATGTTACCGGTAAGAGGGAACCGTTCCCTCATTGAAATAAAAAATAAATTTCAAAACTTATCTATGACACATTTTCTAGAGTGGAACCGTTCCCCCTTAAAATATATAACAATTTGATAGAATAAAATGCAATAATTTATAAATTACGAACAAGGTTACAAGTAAGAGGGAACCGTTCACTCATCGAAATAAAAGACAAATTTCAAAACTTATCTACGACACATTTTCTAAAGTGGAACCGTTCCCCCTTAACAAAATAGATATAACAGGTAAGAGGGAACCGTTCCCTCATCGAAATAAAAAATAAATATCAAAACTTATCTGTAACACTTTTTCTAGAGTGGAACCGTTCCCCCTTAACAAAACAGATATAACAATTAATGCAATAATTTAGAAATTGAGAGCCATGTAAATGGTAAGAGGGAACCGTTCACTCATCGAAATAAAAAATAAATTTCAAAACTTATCTACGACACATTTTCTAAAGTGGAACCGTTCCCCCTTAACAAAATAGATATAACAATTTGATAGAATAAAATGCAATAATTTTGAAATTTAGAGCCAGGTTACCAGTAAGAGGGAACCATTCCCTCCTCAAAATAAAAAATAAATTTCAAAACTTATCTATAACAAACTTTCTAAAGTGGAACCGTTCCCCTTAACAAAACAGATACATGTATAACAATTTGATAGAATAAAATGCAGTAATATAGAAATTTAGAGCCATGTTACTGGCAAGAGGGAACCATTCCCTCATGACAACTTAACCAAAATTCAATAATTTGAACTTGACAGTCAATGTGATTTAAAGCTCAGGGTCAAGGTCTGTTCAATCTTTCAGCATGTCTTGTCCAAATGGTTGTTTTGTCTAAGTTTAAAATACTCCATTGATTACTTACAAAGTTACAGCCAACAAGAGGGCCAAAATGACCCTAGATCGCTCACCTGACCCATCAAACCCATATTATATTAAACTCCTGTGACCTAGTATTTCATCTGAGATGACACATGTTCGAACTCATCCGAGCAATTACCTAGACAAGCATCCTGACCAAGTTTCATGACAGGTGAGTCAAACATGTGACCACTAGAGTGTTAACAAGGATTTTCCATATTTGAGCAGTGTGACCTAGTTTTTGACCCCAGGTGACACATATTCAAATTTGACATAAAAATCATCATAACAAACTTTCAGTCCAGGATATTTGGATGAAAACAGTAGCCATTAGAGTGTTAACAAGATTTTTCTATTTTTAGCTCCTGTGACCTAGTTTTATATATAAGCAATTACATAGACAAGCATCGTGACAAAATTTGATGATGAATGAGGTAAAAATGTCTGGTCTACTTGAAGGTCTTGTCAAAAGGGTTGTTGTGAAGAAAATTGAATCCATTTTGTAATGAAATAATTGCCAATGTTAAAGTTTTAGGATGACAACAAGAAAGTAAGGCATGACTGTACATAGCAATAGCTCACACTCTTTTATTCTTAAAAAAAATTGAGCTGAAAACTAACAAGAGCACCGCTAGGCCAAATGTGGGCCAAATGGAACTTAAGTTATTCTCCGGAAACTGTTTTCACTTTTAAAGTAATAGTGACCTTGACCTCTGACCTTGTGATCCCAAAATCAATAGTGGTGTTCTACCCAATATGGCCAATCATCCTATAAAGTTTAAATACTGTGGGCCAAATGGAACTTAAGTCATGTTCCGGAAACTGTTTTCAGTTTTAAAGTAATAATGATCTTGACCTCTGACCTTGTGACCCCAAAATCAATAGGGGTCTTCTACCCAATATGGACAATCATCCTGTGAAGTTTTTATATTGTGGGCCAAATGAAACTTAAGTTATGTTCCGGAAACTGTTTTCAGTTTTAAAGTAATAATGACCTTGACCTTTGACCTTGTGACCCCAAAATCAATAGGGATTTTCTACCCAATATAGACAATCATCCTATGAAGTTTGAACACTGTGGGCCAAATGGAACTTAAGTTATGCTCCGGAAACTGTTTTCAGTTCTTGACCTTTGATCTTGTGACCTCAAAATCAATAGGTGTCTTCTACCTAATAATAATATGGACAATCATCCTCGGGTAACAGTATTTTCCTCGGGATGATATTTTTACTGTTACCAACAAACCCATGTGTTATTTATATACTGTTACCCAGTCACACAAGTACCTCTGGGTTCGTACGGAGGAACAGATGCCAGGGGGTATAACATAATATGCCCGAAATTGTTTCGGGCATATTAAAATTCAACACATCATTTCTCCCCAATGAGATTTATCCATCTATAATGTATTAAGTTTCACTAACATGTAGATACCTCCTTTTGGTGGATGGATATATGGACATTCCGACACATTTACTAAGTTGTTATAAAGTTTTGAAAACATAATGATTCCTAGTGTTTTACTGCATTATAATGTTTGTTCATTCAACATGTTGTTAAACATGCACATTTTTGCACTAAAATTGCACCTTTCAACATCTCTCTTTACAGCCATATAGCCATATAGATATTGTTAACAAACAATATTCAACAACCATCTTCAGTATATCAAATGAAAGTTTCAACAAAACTTAAGCAAGGTTTAAGCACATGTTCCATCCAAACATGTTTCTGCTCCTCTACGATGAATAGGGAAAATCTTCTTGACAACAATATCTGAAAATAAACAAAAAAACTATTTTACCTTATTTATATTTCAAAATTTAATAAATAAAGTACTTCATATGATAATTCTTAAATAAATTTAAATTCTGAATAAGATATGCATGGCCTTTAAAAGACAGACATTTATTTAGAGGCCAAATTATTCAAACAAATTTTCTAACTAAACTTAAGATTATTAATTATTTATATCTACAATTGCATATTAATTATAGTCCATATAAAAAAATTTTATTGCATCATTATTTTTTGTGTAAGTGAGAGGTTAAGGACAGGAATCATTGACAAATTTCTTTATAGACCCAAGCTATTTTTACTTAACAAAATATATGCTCTCTTTAGAGGTGATATATAAAAGAGTAATTGATCCTTAAATTTCCTCAAGACAAGAGGACTGTGATGACTATAGAGTTTCACATGGTTGATGAACAAAACAGGCAAAGAGAATTGTATTTGGTAAAGTACTGTCTAAAGTATCATTTTAGCACATTTTGTAGATATTGTACAAGTACTTACTTAATTTAACTGTGACCAATATATCTAGTTGTTGAAGGTAACCATTTTTATCCAAGATATGACCTGAAATGTGGTTAATATTTACATTATAACAATTAACAAATGCATATTTAATGTGGTCCAAAGGAATGCTGTAGTAACTGGAACAATACTGTCTCAACCAATATCAGATATTTGATGTATATTCAATTCAAAGAACAGAGTTCAGATAAGCAGACAATGGGGTGTGCTTGGCATAGATAAATTGACTTCAAATCACTTGCAACTCACTGCTCTGAGTTTGAATACCACTGATGACTCTGTGTACTTTCATGTGAGGAAACTACATAAATCAAACAAGCTTACAGAATGTTGGTTTATCTACTCAGGTACCTGCTCATGCCTGACATAATGCATCACTGCTATGACTTTGACCGAGGGACTTAAGTACAGCACGCAAAACATCATCTACTAATGGTGGCTGCATTAACCAATTCATTTTGAAATCCTATCATTCATGCAGAAGTTAAAACCCTAAAATCCCTTAAACACTACAACAACTTTGTACTTGATAGTCAATTCACTTACATTTCTTCTTTTGATTAGTTTGTTATCACTTGTCTCCTCCATCACATCTATTTTGCTTGGCTGACAGTTTACAGGATTGGACCCTGAAATTTTAAGCAACTATTTTTTAACTGTTGTACCATTACAAACTAATTCAATTGTGTTATAGTATTTACATTTTAGGAAAATAATAAGAGTAAATAAATACAGATAAATGCTAAACCTGCTAAATTTCTGAAATAGACTTTGTCTAGCTTTCATTTATAAAACTTCCATTATCAATTTTGTTAGCTAACAATAAAGCCTGGCTCTTTACTGGTAGTAAATGCTGCAGTGGCTACGATTCCGGCTGACCAGCAGGTTGCTATGAAAGTCAATGGTACTGGTTGCTATAGAAAACAAGCAATTATCATAGTATTGCAAGCAATCCATAAGTCCCCTACCGGTAAGAGCCCAAGCAACATTCTGAAGGGCCATTGGCCATTCACTTAGGTTCCTATTTTAAGTAAATTTGTTGAAAAAGTTCTTTAAAAATGATCACAGGAAACAGTTTTTATGTACAGACAGACGGACTGAAGGACACTCTAAAGTTATTTTTTAAACATCCCTGTTATCAAAATATAACATTTTAAAAATCCTATCATGATTGAAGAAGTTGGAGTAAAAATTACCAATTTCTCAAAAAAAAGTCTAAGTTCAAAAGGGGCATAATTCTGGAAATAGTCTTGCTCGAGTATTGAACACTCACAAATGTTGAGTGACAATAAGAAACATTTATATGAAGTTTGAAGAAGATACATTCAGAAAAAGAAGTTATTAAAAAAAACAATGTTTTTTTCATGAAAATTTTAAGTTCAAGGGAGGTAATTCTGATAAATTTTGTGCTAGAGTTGTAAACCTTGTCACATATGATGTGGTTGATGACAAGCAACTTATATTTAAAGTTTATAGAAAATACCTTAAGAAATAAAGAACTTATAGTGAAAAAACTTAAAAACTAGAATCAGAAATCTTGAAATTCAGTCCATTTGTTGCCATAGCAACCAGAATTTTCAACATAGGAAGATAAAAAAGGATGTGCATAATTTCCATACTGCCATCTACCCATATGTCAAGTTTCATAAAAATATTTTCAGTACTTTTTGTGTTATCACTGGATCCAGGTTATGTGTAAAATTTGCCATATTTTCAGTCTATTTGTTGCCATAGCAACCAGAATTTTCAACATAGGAAGAAAAGAAAAAAACGTGCATAATCTCCATACTGCCATCTATCCATATATCAAGTTTCATAAAAATATTTTCAGTACTTTTTGCGTTATCGCGGGATCCAGGTTATGTGTAAAATTTGCCATATTTTCAGTCTATTTGTTGCCATAGCAACCAGAATTTTCAACATAGGAAGAAAAGAAAAAGACGTGCATAATCTCCATACTGCCATCTATCCATATATCAAGTTTCATTAAAATATCTTCAGTATTTTTTGCGTTAACGCGGGATCCAGTTTTGTGGACGGACGGACTGACGGACGGACAGACGGACGGACTGACGGACGGAGGGTAAACCTAAAGTCCCCTCCGGTAAACCGGTAGGGGACTAATAAAATTTTGCTATGGAAGTCACTGGTTCTTATGAAGTCTGTAACTGATATGAAAAGAAAAGAAAGCCAACAGTTGCTATTGAAAGATAAAGGTTGCTTTGGAAAATAAGTCACTAGTTGCTATGGATACCACTGGTTACTAAGGACTAAGTTGATGCTGGTAGAAATAATAGGTACATGTTCTTGAGAAATGTATTTCAAGGGTTGTTATGGAAATTACTGTTTATTAAGGGAAGTCAATTTCATCATGGAAAGTCATGGTTGCTATGGCAGTCTCCAGTTAGTATGAAATATCACTAGTTGCTATGGAAAGTAAATGGTTGCTATGGGAGTCATTGGTTGCTTTGTAAAGTCATAGATTGCTACTTAGCAGTCACTGATTGCTATGAAAAGTCACTGGTCCCAGTGTCAGCATTTTCCCCCCTACTTTGTTAATCGTGCCTGGTACCAAACAAATTGGGAAAAATGCATAGCATGCACTCAAATTGAGAATTTAACATAATATACACCAAGCATTCATGGGGAATTTTCTAATCCAGGGAGACATTAGTATTATGCATAATATACACTTTTAATAGGGCTGTCATTGATGAGAAAATTTTGTTATTGATATATATCGAGAGACAAATATTGACGTCGCGATACATCGATATATGGACTTTCACAGACAGTGGA